TGTTCGGGCTTACGGCCTCTCCCCTAAACTCGCGGGTTTTGGTGAATAAGTAAAACGTTGCTGCTTACGGAGGTGATTCTGGAGGGTTGCCCGGTGGTGGTGAGGCTCACTCTACTTGTAAATAGCTAAATAAATAAATAATCAGAAAGCCTCGTTGCTGGCAGAATTGCGAGCTGTCTTTGAATTCCCCACGGACACGGCAGCATTTCAGGAACTCAGCCCAGCCCCTGCAGCGCGTGGCGGGAGGCCAAGGAGAATTGGACAGTCTGTGAACTTATCTTCTCATCCCCCTCCCTGTAGTTCTGAGTATAAGTGTAGTGTATTTATAAGTACGTTATTCTGTTTATTAGTTCATTTCTGGCATCTACGCTTCAAGCAGTAGTATTTAGTTTTCGGTCTCACTCCACTTTGATTCCTGGGTTTACTCTTTGGCCGTGGCGATGTTTTGAAATGATATTTGAGCAATGAAAACAGCTGGTAAAAGCAAGAATGCTGCAGACAGTGTTTAAAGATACGCTGTAGTAGCGAGAACACTGTGTACTACAACTCTGTGTGCTCATTTTCCATTACGACTGACTTGTCCAGACAAGCAACGGGTAACTGCCTGGGCTTGTCCATTGGACAAATAAAGATTTTTTTCAAGAAAAATGTGACCTTGCGAAAATTCCAGAAATATTTTAAATCTAGGCATGGTGTAATGATGGATTTTCAGGACAAGCTTGTTATCCCTCTAAAGCATAAAGCTCAAGGTCTAAAGAAGTGACATCTGAGAAGCTGTCAGAACCCTGAAAACATGTTTATTTACCCAAATTTACTCACCTCTGAATTCAGAATTTAAGTGTTTTTTATTAGCAGCAATGTAAGTTAGAAGGAAGTTTTCTACATTAATACAGCCTAAGACCTAACAAGCTGGTAGCTAGGACGTCCTTTTTCCTCTTCTCAGACAACAGCATCTTGTGACCAATCAATCTGTAGTTAAATTGTGATTTCTTTCACAATTTCCACTTACCAGTTCATTAACTGCTAGGAGAAAACCAGTTTCTGTTCAGAATTTTATGAGTCTTTGGTGATAATCTTATCTCTTTTGCCAGATAGATACACTAATCCTGAGTCCCTGCACACTGTGCTTGGTTAAAGAGATGGGAGGACATTTTCTGACATGTAACACTCAACTTTTGACCTATTTGTCACAAATACAGCAGATCCTGTTTCATCAATGTGCACAGTTGTTTCCTTGTGCTTGATAATACTGGGCAAGTATAGTTGAAATGTTTTATTGGGAAAAAAAAAGTGATACAACAAGTGTGAATTGACCGAAGTTGGTATTTATTCAGATTATGCCTATGTTGTAATGCATCTTCCAAAATGATTACATTTCAGCTCTGCATATTTATTTTTACCTCTGCGTTGACTTCTCATGAAATATATATGGAAAGGGGTTGTCATTCCTTTCCAGGGATAAAGGGCAGTGTTCCCAAATAATCTTCCAGTGAAAGAGTCTGAAATTCTGATTTCTCTTAATTAAGGGCAGATGCAACTCTGTGAGCTTCCCCAAAGGAGAACATTTGGGCCACATTTCTGAGAAGGCAGCAAATATTACACGCAATTCTTGCTACACACGGAGTAGTGCCTTTCTAGGATGCTAATTCTGCACATAAACCACTGTGCAGTAGATAAAGTAATAGATCCTTAAGGAGTGAGTGAGAAGCCTGTATGGTTCTGAGCGATGACTTCCCCATGGATGTCATGCCCCAGCTGTGTTTCGGGATGCTGAAGTTTGGCTGGGGCGCGTGTGGCCTCGCAGGGCTTTCTGCCAGGCCCCGGGGCTTCCGTGAAGGCCTTCATCCCGCTATGACCCTACACGCCAGTCAGGGCACTTCAGAGAAATACAGAATAATTTTGTTGTTTTGGTCACATTCCTGTCGTATGTAAGTGTGTAAGAAAAAATGTTTTTAAAGCCTCATGCCAGTGATATCGTATCAATAGTTGATACTTCCTTTTCAAGCCAAAGCCTATCCCAACAGCAAGGTGTGTTGGTATGTGGAGTACCACCACCAGAAACATCTTCCCACAGGTGAAGCCCACATTCTGCTAAATAAGAAAGGGATGCAGCCTTCCTGGTGGCAGTTTCGAACAGACAGTAATGAAAGCAGGAATTGAGAGCACGACCCAAAGCAAGAGTAGGAACGCAAAGTCCGGGGAGCTGGATGGATCCAGGTCTGCTCACCGATGCTATTGCTGCTGTTCATCAGTGAGCTCTGCGGCACTGCCGCGTTTCTGGGTGCAGGAGCTGTGGTCCTGGCCTCATGGGAGCTGCTCCGGCTTTCCCGACCAGCCCTGGGCCCTCGTGCAGGAATCCCAGAACAGCAGGTTCACTACAGCCTCGGCGGGACACGCACTCCGGGCTCAGCTACCTCCAGGGGTTTATGGGTGGCTTGGGTGTGCGATTAGCAGCTTCTTAGCATTTCCACCACTCTTGATCAAGCAGATACCAAATTCAGCCTCGTTTGTTTTGAAAGATGTAAAATTAGGTGGGCTGGGAAAGTCCACCACATGTGTTTCTAATAGCTGCTCGTGAGCTCTTACCTTCCTCATACAGACACTTGGTTCCAGTAAGCTCTGTTCTTGTAAGCGTTAAGCACAGGCTGCTAGGAAAGCACCTAGAACTGGAATAACCCGCATCAGAGGATTCTTTGCTTATGTTTAGCCAAATTCTCAGCACGGCACCTAGGAGACACTGTGAGTCCATCAGCCCAGATCGGATTGAGATGCAGTAGCAGCTCAATCGGCCACAAGCAGAATTAACCAAAGCAGGAGGGCACCCCTTCTAAAGGGAGCCCAGTGGCAAAAATGTAAAACTACCGTCTTCCACTTCTGCTTGGAAGTGCCCAATATCGAACACGGAATTAAGATCCATTTTCTTTCCTCTATTTTTCTGTTTAGTCCATGCTTTTGGAGGAAACTCTTCTGAATCCTGGTGGTTTTGTTTGGGAACATTACTAAGCGAGAAAACATATTTTCCCCTACTTTTGTTAACCTGGGGTGTGAGGTATGTGTCTAGATTGTGACAAGTACCTGCTTTACTCATCTGTAGTGGTGAACATTAAACAATCCAGTGATCTCATCTTCTGCAGGAGTACCTGATAGCGTTTAGTTAGATCAGAGAAAGCCTCAGTTTAAACATGAGCCCTGTTTAAGCAAACTGGGCGGACACTGTTCCAGCTGCAAACTGCATTTTTTTTTTTAATTCAGTCTAGCAGCCATCAGTTGCTGTTGGAGGGAGGCCCCTTGGCACGTGCGGGTGCAGTGTCCCACGCTAATCACAGTCGCGTTCTCCTTAATCACAAGCACATTCTTGTGAAAGAGGCTCTTCCAAAAGCTCCTATGGAAACACCCCGAAACGTGTTTGGGGCAGCCGAGGCCTGGGGGAGATGTGAGCAAGGAGTGAGGCCGCCCGTGGCGCAGGGCCTGGCCCTTGGCGCGGGGGCACACGGACAGTGCTGCGGCTGCTGCTGCGGCTGGGCCTCGGGGCACTTCTGCATTAGAGGAGAGCAAGATAAAGGAAAAAAGGATTTGAACGGCCTGGCTCTTATTTGACCTGTTTGTTACTAACAACAAAACCCACCTGGGCGTTACTTTACACAAGCTGCTTCTTAACTCGGGCCCATTCTATGCATCTGACCAAACTTATCTGACCACATGCACCCAACCTGGAACGGTGCCAGCCTCGCATGGCCACTCTCCTGCATGCTGCTGTGCTTGCTTCCTGGCTGCCTTCCATGCAAGGACACTACTGCTTGCTTGGGGCCAGGAAGTCGCCGGAATGCCCTCCTTGCAGGCCTTACTGTGGTCTGCTTCCCAGTTTCATGTTTTGCTCATGTAGCTTTGTGGATTGGGGTGTAATTTTCCTTCACCCAGGAAGAGCCATCCATTGCTAAACAAACAAACAAGAAAAGCTTTAGCACAGGCTCTATATTCTTGCAGTCTTTTCACTAATATCACTGATTTTGCTTGTGAAAAGTCACTTGTTTTGCTGCTATTAGCAGGGTTTTTACTCTTGAGAGCATAGCTTCTCTGATATGCCTTTAAAATGCAGCTCGCCGTGCATGCAGTCAAACAATAGTGTTTGTTTGTAGTTTACTGTGATTACCCAGGTCATTATCTAGCGCCTGGGCTAGCCTGGGCTTGAAACCTTCAAGGGTAGTTTCAGTGGTTTAACTCAAAGAGTCTCCTGCGCTCACAAACCCGCTTATGTTATGAACCTCGGATGTGGATCCAAAGCCCAGTTTGGAAGCGGATTTGCTCAGGCTATGAGTTTCTCTCTTGCAGGTTAGGTATGGATGCACCTGCTTCCCAAAATAAACTATGGTACCCCAACAAGTCAGCCTTCTGAAGAGCAGTGCTGCTCTCTAACCTGCATTTTTCTTTATCTCTGTGCCCTTGCTCGCTTCACAGAATCTCGGAATGGTTGAGGTTGGAAGGAACCTCTGGAGATCATCTGGTCCAACCCCCCTGCTCCAGCAGGAACACCTAGAGCACGTGGCACAGGGTGGCATCCAGGTGAGTTTGGAAGTTCTCCAGAGAAGGAGACTCCACAGCCTCTCTGTCACCCTCGCAGGAAAGTTCTTCCTCACATGGAGATGATCAGGTGGGCCCTCATCAAATATTGCCTCACCATTTAATTGCTGGCATGGAGACAGCTCCTGACAAGGAAGGAGGGAAGTTTTTAGAGTGTCTGTTCCT